GTAGGGACTAGTCCTTAGAGAAGGATGTTGTTCTGGTTACCTAGTGCCACTCTGACAGGAATATAGCACAAATGGGATGGCCTTAACAAGCTCTAGGGGCTGGGTGAAAGCCCCTCAACCTTGGGGTCCAGCTCTGCTTCCTGCTGACAGCCCACTGGAGCTAGAGTAATTTCTTCATTCAGACAGCTGCTGGCTGCGAGGCTGAGAAGCCCAAGGTTGACAAGTAAGAAAGGGCACAGTTCCGATGTTACCAAACCACATGGCAGGCCATTAGCTTAAGTCCACTGTAAGTCCCAAGGTCGGCAGAGCATAACAGGCTGCTGAGCAACGACACAGCTACATGCAGGCTCCAAGTGTGTCATATGCTAGAGATCATTCTCAAAGCTTCTCCTTATATACAGGAAGCAGTCCACATCCCAAAAGCAGCTCCTCCGCTGCTTGTGGTAGATCCCACCATGGAGTTAATTGCCAGTCTCCTCATGGGGATTAACTACCACCAGCTGCCCAGCCACTGAACCAGGCCTAGACAAGTTGACACACAAATATAACTACCACAGATAACATGTTTTGTAAAGTAGAGGGTCAACGAAAGAGGGGAAGACCCTCAACAAGATGGATTGACACAGTTCTGCCACAGTTGGCTCAAGCATAGCAAGGGCGGTGAGGATGGTGCAGGTCTGGGACGTGTTTCATTCTGTTGTACACATGGTCACTATGAGCTGGGACTGACTTGATGGCACCTAAAACCAAGAAGTTGCAAAAACGCATTTCTGTTTTTCTTTCTATAAGAAACGCTTTTAGAAAGAAAAAAAAAAAAAAAAAAATCCCCAAATCTAGCCAGCCAGCTGTCTTTATGTGATTGTACAGTATGAACTGTCAAAAGAATTTCTCCTCATTTTTGACAAGCAGGACACATGGCCCCTTTCCTCAAAATCTGCATAGTAATGATATTGCCCCATGAATTTTCATTGTATGCATCTGGAAGAAGGCCATTCTTTCTACTGAGGGCAAGGACAGGACTAGGTTAATGAGATCAAGTCTTATTCAAGACTATAGTCCTTTACTTGGGATAAATTAATGCATTCTAATTGCTGTACACTTTTTTTTATTTTTAAAGCCTGCATTGGAGTGATTGCTGCTTACTACCAACCCTATCAGGTAAGACCATTACAAATAAACCCACTGCTATTGAGTTAATTCTGACTCAGAGCAATCCCCATTGGGTTTCCAAGGTGATAAATCTTTACAGAAGTAGATTGCCCTGTGTTTCTTTCACAGAGTGGCTGGTGGGTTTGAATCACCAACCTTCTGATTAGCAGTCAAATGCCTTAGGCACTGTGCCACCAGAGCTCAAATGTGTAGTATATTATCTGTTCATGCCAACACAATCAAGTTACCCTCTTGCATCTGTGCAGGGGATTAACAGCCTGAAAATTGACACCTAAATGGAAAATATGCTCCATACGAGTTCTGAATTTTCGAGTTTTTCAAAAGGACTCTTTTCCAAAATGCAATATATAATTATTTTAATACATTACATCAAACACAAAAATTTCCTTGATGTCAGTCATAAGCAACATAAAAATGGTATAGAATAAGAGTGGTACAGATGTCAGAACTTTTCCTTGTACAAATTCATTTCCCTGCTTTGGGCCCATTTACTAATTTCCAGAGGCAGCACGAACAAGCTTGATGACTTTTGTTTAGAACTGTCTTTCTTTAAGGTTAGCTTTTAAAGCAAAGGCAGAAGCCAACTGCCCCTAAGTGGTTATCTTTCCCTGCATAAATTGATAGACCTCTCAAGATTCTGACCTGGCAGTAGTCAAGCTATCATTCATCATTAAGACAATGGAACAAAAGGCGATTCTTCGCTAGCTTGCCTCCTTTATCCTGCTTGCAATATGTTTTATTCATGGAAAGAGGAAAAATATTTCCTTCTGTATTTGAATTATTATTATTTTTTGTTTTTGCTGGCAAGTTTGAAAGTACTTCAATTTTTGCAGTTTCAGTAGCTTCAAGCAACTGTACTGAAGGCTATGCTGTTGTTAGTTGCAGGTGGATTCTGACTCCTGGTGACCTCATGTGTGCAAAGTAGAACTGCTCCTTAGGGTTTTCAAGGCTCTGACCTTTCAGAAGTAAATTGCCAGGCCTTACTCCAGAGGCGCCTCCTGGTAGGTTTGAACCGTAAACCTTTCAATTAGTGTCCAGAGCTTAACCATTCATTCACACCACCCAGGAGTCTGTGTGGTTTATGGAAATCCATAATTTCGGAATCTCTTCTAAACATACATGTTTCACAACGAATGCCAAGAAAAATGAAAATTGGATCTCATGGCTTAATGAAATTAAAATGTGTTAGTGCCTAAGGCATTTGACAGGGGCTCTGGTAGCGTCGTGCCTAAGGCAGTGCCAGAAGGCTGGCGGTTCAAACCCACCAGCCACTCCTTGGAAGGAAGATGGGGCAATTTACTTCCGTAGTGATAGTGTCTCAGAAATCCAAGGAGGGGTCGCTATGAGTCAGGTCCGACTGGAGGGTACACAACAACAACAACAAGGCATTTGACTGCTAACTCCGTCAAATGCCTTGTTGTTGTTATGTGCCTTCTGGTTAGCAGTCAAATGCGTTAGGCACTACGCCACCAGAGCTCCGGAAACCCAAAGAGAGGTCGCTATGAGTCGGATTCGACTTGAGGGCAGTGAGTTTGGTTTTGAGTTTGCATAGGGAATTTTTTTTTTTAAAAAAAGCAACTTACTGGAATTTCTTCAGAAGTATAATTTTGTATTATTTAAACACTCATCCTTGTTTATAAATTGAACCAACAAAGTAACTCGATAGGCACAAGGTCAGTGTAAGCTAAGCTCTGTACTGTGTATATTCAAAGTCTTTTAGTTCCTTCAAAAACCCTTTGGCTGTAGGAATTCTCATTTTTCAGTTGAGGAAAAAGACTTTGACATATTCAAAGTCCTGTGGCTCCTCAGCCTTGAGATCTTTCTACGGGGCTGCACTCTCCTCGGTTTATCTGCAAGGCTGGGTGAATTCCACTGCTATCTAACAGTGGGAAGGGTTTGACAGTGCCAGGAAAAACTATTTTCTGGAAAGGCATTACCTGAGGCTACAAAAAGGAATGGTGTCAAATTGGGGTGGGTGGGGGCCTGGGAATCCAACCCCTAAAACAACACTTATACAGTAAGGCAATCACTTCAGGAAGATTGTAGTCTCAAGTCTTTAAACGTTATTGTATGGACGTTGTAATGATTAATGCAGGTGAGCGCAATCCCCTTGTCCTCCATTCTCGTAACCTCTGGGGGGCACCCCACTCTGGTATGTTCTGTGTTGTCTGGTATGGTGTAATTGTTCATAAATTAGAGCCATGAGTTTTTTTTTTTTTTCCCTATGAATGTCCCCTCCCCATGAATATTCTTGCCCCCCCCCCCATGATGTTCTTGTTCAGTTTATTTGATTCAGCCTTTTTCAGCTCAATGCATTAGTGAAATCCCGATCCCATTTCTGTTATTCAGGAAACGCACAAGTCTCAAGTGCACCTGCCCATGCATGTTTTTTGCCTCTTAAAGTGACATCAGGTCACAAGTGTTACATATTTTGCTCGGATCTTTTCAGAGAGCTTTTTTCATTGCTCATTTTATTTTAAAAAATAATTTAAAAAACAAAACAAAACAAAAAACCCAAACTCACTGCCATCGAGTGGCTTCTGACTCATAGCGACCCCTTTTGGGTTTCCCAGGCGGTAAATCTCTACAGAAGTAGATTGTTCAATCTCCCTTCCGCTGAGTGGTGGTGGGTTTGAACCACCAACCTCTGGTTAACAGTCAGATGCCTTCAGCACTACGCTACCAGAGCTCCTTTTCATTTTATTCACTGGCGTTGGATTTGTGCTCAGTGTAACTGGACTTAAGTCTAGAAGCGATCAGTTTCTTCTTCCCAAGTGTTTGAGAATTACAACTGACAATACCGAACTTTGTTTTTTCTTTCACATGGTGGAGAGAGCTCTCGAGCAGGCGGCAGTCTGAAGTCCTAAGACCGCCCCTCCTGTGCGTATGGTGTGTGTACTTCCAGGGACACAACAGGCTGCAGTTCTCCCCCTTAGCAGTTCAACACGACAAACGTGAGCACGGGTGTTCCGGGCCCCGAGTCAAGTACAGGTTTACCTAATTACCTCCTCCACACTTCTCGTTCCCAGGGTACCGTCTTATGACCCACACAGCCTTTAGGAAATCACTCCGAGCAGACATTAAGTGTCTCTCACTTCCCATGTTGCGAAGCTTGCTTCCTACTGGGGAGTGAGAGGGAGGAGACACCAAGGTTCCCTGGCACTGGAGCACCGAGTTCTGGTTGGGTTTGTACCAAAGCAAACTCACTGCCTACGAGTCCATTCGACTAATAGCGACCCCTCCTTGGATTTCCCAGGTGGTATCTCTAGGAAGGCTGGCGGTTCAAACCCACCAGCCACTCCTCGGAAGGAAGATGGGATAATCTACTTCCGTAGTGATACTGCCTCGCAAACTCAAGGAGGGGTCGCTACGAGTCAGGTCCGACTCCAAGGCACATAACAACAACATCTCTAGGAAAGTAGATAGCCCAATTTTCCTTCCCAGGAGTGGCTGGTGGGTTTGAACCGCCAGCTTTCTGGTTAGCAGTCAAGCGCCTTAGGCACTAGGCCACCAGAGCTCCCGTTTGTCTGATTAGGAGGCAACAAAAGCACACACGACTTCGACCGTGGCAGCACCTGCTGATTTTCCGCTCTTCCGGAATGGCTCTCCCACTTGCACCACCCCCGTGCCCGCCCCTCCGACCCCCGCCCAGAAACCTGTGCCCTCGCCTCTCCCGCGCTTCTCTCCTGCCACCCGCAGTGGTCTGCCTTTTATAGGCGCCGCAGCCAATGAGCGCTCTTCTTTCCTTCTTCTCGCGCGACCAGCCAATCGCCTCGCCCCTTGTGTAATCTTCGTCTCTTCGGCTGCTCTCGGGTATTTTCGCTGTTGCTGGCTTTTCAGGGGCTGCTTGCTTGCAGCCAGAGACGCTGCTTTTTTTTCCGGGTTCGGAGCCGTTCCGGATGCTTTAGGCTGCCGGATGTCTGATCTCCGGATAACTGAGGCGTTTCTGTACATGGATTATCTGGTAGGTGCGGGGTAGGGGTGGCATGTCGCCTCTCAGGTCCCGACGTGCCTGATGTCCCTCTGCCTGGAGGAACAGCCTTTTTGCTTTCTTTCTTTGGGATGGGATGCCTTTGGGGTTCTTTTCTCCTGCAGCCGGCTAAAAAGCTGTGCTCTGGACTCAGAGAGGTGCTCTGGACCCCCACCGGGGTCGCGGGGCAGCCTCGCAAGGGGGTGGTGGTGCTGACAGGTAAAGGTGCGGCCGGGGTTTGTCTGGCTGCGGAACGAGGGTCGCGCTGGGGCTGCCCGAGAGATGGGGCCGCTGCGGCCGGGCGTCTGCCCGCGGTCAGGCGTCTGCCCGCGGTCGGTGTCTTTGCTTCCCTCTGCGCTCTCTGCAAAGGACTTTCTTTCCGTGCAAGCAAGAGTTTTCCGCTCTCTCTCCACCAGAACTCCAGGCACTATTAAAGAGCCATAACCAGAATGGCTCACTAAGTGCCTGGCAGCCCCGGTCATTTGGTTGTTATTAGATCTCTAAAGCTATGACCTCGGTCGCGGCGGGGTTTTAAAAGCACATTACCATAAAGTAGACGGGAGTAAACTACATCTCAACCTGGACGGAACAGGACTGGGCAAGCATTGCCCCACTGTTGGGCTCAGGTCATGGGTGCATGCTGCTTTTCGCTTGTGCTTGGATTGGGTCCCTACTGTGTTTTTAGGCCAGGCTTGTACTGTGAAGTTTGGGTGGGAAAAGTGTCAGCTTAGAGCTGGGACTGAACATTATTTTAAAAAATGGTTTGTGCATGTATTTGTGGAATTATGCAAGCACCTGTATTGCTCTAGAAATTATATTTCCCCAGAGCTGCATGTTTGTGGTCAAGGTAGTCCTCGTTTACATTGGAAGTGTCAGATCCTATACAATTACGGTGTTCACCGTGTGGGCCAGAACCGCTATTGCAATGCAGAGCTGAAGTAGAGAGTTGAAAACATTTGTCCTCCTGTCATCTGCTTGGACACATGCACTCGATTTTCTACTGCAGTGTGGCCTGGCAGAGATTTGCCACTGCCTTCCAGGAATTACACTTTAGGCTGCACTGAGAAAGACTATGAATGCTTTCCTAATAAAGAAATGCTGGACAGTGACTGGTTTTGTAGTGTTGTAAGTGTATTTGGGCTTATTTTACTTTACATGGAGAAAATGTTTTCCCTAACACTTTTTTTTTCCCTGCACATTTTATGGCTTGATGAACTTGTGGGAGAGGATGGTCATTGCATTTAATGCTTGGCCTTGTGAATGGAGCATCATTCACCGTTTTTCCAGAGTAAGAAATTCTGAGTTCAAATTCTGTTTTGTTGTTCTTTTGCTCCTAGCAGTTAACTTCCTCTATGTTTGTGATAGAGGGCCAGTATCCACTCACCATCATTAAGCATATTATCAGATATCAAGCATGCTTTAAAAATACAAAGTGCTATGTAGGTAAAGAGAGTTGTCTAGTGTAACTGAAAGATTATTTTCTAAACTAAACACCTGCTTAATTTGTGGCTAGAATTGTAAAATACAGTGCTATGGTTTTGGTTTATAGTCAGCCCAACTTAAAGCCAAAGTTGTTAAGAATAATTGCCAAATAGGAAAGGGTAACATTACCTATAATACTGAAAGCTAATTTTGGATACATAGTTCCCAAAAAAGAAATCTAGTAGTTCTGATCATTGTATATTTTCTTTTTGCACTAGATGTGCTTTAAATTAACAGATTGCATCAAAGGCTATCTTTGAAGTACCAAACCCACCAAAACATTTAGTAAGAAGAATATTGTAAACACTGGTTAATTACTCAGATTAATTACCTCTGGAGAGGCATAGTCTAACTGGAGGTGGGGAATGTGTGTGGGGCTCTAGTTTACCCTAAAAACAGATTAATTTCTTTGCTAGTTTACTGTCAGTTTGGTGTCAAAATAATGGGCTGGAAAGCTGACATTCTTTCATGTTTTACCTGCCACACCCATACACTAGTTTTGCTTATGTTTTAAAAAGTTATTATTTTGTTACCTTAACTTTGCTTTATTTAAAAGAATCACAAGTGTAGTGAAACACTCCCATAAAACAAGGCATTGTTGTTGTTAGGTGCTGTGGAGTTGATCTGTACTCATTGTGACCCCATGTATAACAGACTTAAACACCCCCCAGTCCTGTGGACCTGTGTCATGCTCACAATTGTTGCTTTCTATACTTGAGCCTGCTTTTGCAGCCACTGTGTCAGTTCATCTCATTGAGGGTTTTCCTCTCTTTCACCATCCCTCTGCTTTATAAAGCAGATGCCCTTCTCCAGGGATCAGTCCCTCCTGATAACGTATTCAAAGTGATTTGAAGTCTCTTCATCCTCACTTCTAAGGAACGTTCTGTTCTGACTGCACTACTTCCAAGACAGACTTGTTCATTGTTCTGACAGTCCATGGTATAGTCAATATTCTTCAGCAACACTATCATTCAAATGTGTCAATTCTTCAACAAAACATTACATGATAATTATTGCAGGTGAGGATAAAATCTTAAAGGAAACAGTTGAGTTTTTGAGTGTGCAAAGTATCCTCTCTATCAAAAGGTTGAAGAAAATCCTTAAGCATCAAGTCCATTTTTTACTAAAACTGAACTGAAGAAAACAAACAAAATTATTCCACTTGAGGTGATCTTTTTGTATTTGTATCTTGCCTAACAACTTTTCAGAGGAAATGATATAGACCACAGATTATTCCTTTCCTCTTACAGATTGACTTGTTTCTATATGCATAATCTTTATATAATTTATGAAAAACCAGTTTCTGAAAAATAAAAATTTCTTTGGCGGTGTCTGTATATTATTTTAAAATTAAATAAATTCCCAGATTCTTTTACTTACTATGCAGAAACAAATGCTCCTTTTCACTTCACATTTGAGTTTTCAGCTTTTGCTGAGTTTGTGAACTAGAATAAGCAGTACACTTGATAAGGAAAAGTACACTTTTCTTCTTCCTTTTTTTAAAAAAATTGGTGTTTGATTTTCTTGTTGCTGTTGGAAGCTGGAAGAGGGAGCTGTGTGTATGTATTGTGCATTGTTCTTTGTCCTGGATGTCATCACTTAACCTTTTCATGTAGAGGAGAGTTGAAAGGAAGAACAAGTGAGACAAAGGTGGAGGTGCTATTTTTAACAGGCTTTAATAGGATTGACAGGAACTCAGGTGGTGCTGTGGTTAAGGCGTTGGGGTACTAGCCAAAAGGTCAGTGGTTCGAACCCACCAGCCTCTCAATGGAAGAAAGATGAGGCAGTCTGCTTCTGTAAAGATTTACAGCCTTGGAAACCCTGTAGGGGTTGCTGTGAATTGGATTCAACTCAATGGGAGTGAGCTTTAATAGGATTGAGAAGTTAAAACAGATGTATCTCTATTTTAGACATCACTGTGGATTTCCTATCTTTACTTAAAAAAAGTGTTTCAGTTAGAAGTGACAGACAAGGGATGTCTGTTTAAGATAAGATTTTTAACTGTTTGGCTACTAAGTGAATCGTTAGTGGTTCAAATCTACCCAGTGGTTCCTAGGAAGAAAGGGTTTGTGATTTACTTTCAAGATCGTAGCCATTGGAAACTTATGAAGCATAATTGTACTCTGCCACACACGGGGTCACCATGAGTAGCAATCAACTTGACAGTAACTTTTTTTTTTTTTTCCTATTAAATTTATTTCCAAACCAAAACCAAACTCACTGCCGTCAAGTTGGATCCGACTCATAGTGACCCCTCCTTGGGTTTCCAAGGCAGTATCACTAGGGAAGTAGATTGCTCAACCTTTCTTCCGAGGAGTGGCTGGTGGGTTTGAACTGCCAGCCTCTGGTTAGCAGTCAGATGCCATAGGCACTAATATGTGGTAACTGACTAATCCTAAATAATTATATGTATCACTTAATGATTACATGGTACTGGCATGTGGTAGGACCCGGTATTTATTTGTTAAACTGAGTGAGTATGAGATGGAAGGGACAATTCTACTTTTTCTCACCAGTTTCTAAACTGAGCCAAGATAAAATCTGTTTGGATTAGGTGTTTGGTTCTGAGGAATGAAGAATGTATCTTTTACTCTTAACTTTAAGATGATCTGAATGTGATTTTTTAGCCCAGTTGGCAACTTAAAAATAAAATCTCTTTTTGCTAGTTGGTAAAGAAATCTTCCTAGAACTGCCACCTCCTCCTTCCCCCCTCCCCCTGCCCATAGTGAGATTTAAAGGCCATGTTCATACCTGTCAAGTCTATACCCACTGCCGGAGTCGGATCAGCCACATAGTGACCCCTCCTTGGGTTTCCAAGTCAGTATCACTATGGAAGTAGATCGGCCAACCTTCCTTCCGAGGAGTAGCTGGTGGGTTTGAACTGCCAGCCTTCTGGTTAGCAGTCAAATGCCTTAGGCACTACGCCCAGTCAAGTCTATGGGTAAAGGTTTTGTTGTTGTTCCAATAGGCAGTGCTATCATCTTGTTCTGTTCCTCTTCTGACAGAAGGAACTGGTAGGACGTTGTGTAGAGCTCTTTGAATGAGGTAGGAGAAAATAGTTAAGTTGTAATGAAAGAGAAAGTTTAACCAAATTTTCTGAGACAGTTGAACAAGATCAATGTCCAGGTTCTTTCAGTTCAAGTTTCTTTTTTCCTTGACTTTCATAGTTGATTTGTTCTAGATTTTACTTTTTTTCCTCATCTGCCATCAACAAAATAGCAATAAGATTAGTTATAATCTGTATAATGCTTATGATCACTAAAGAGAAAATGGAGAAGTAATTCTAAATAACATATTGCTTTTCAAATATAAGATGTTAGTGTATTGTGATTATGTTGCTGATATTATTTTACCTCCTGTGGAATGACTGTTGCTGCTCAGTGGTAAGTATTAGTCTACCTTTTAAACTAATCTCAACATATGGAAGGATTGGGATTTGCTTATCAGCAAGTAGGAAATCATAAGACTCATGAGAATTGTTTAATACCTATAAAAATAAGTCATTGCCCTTG